AATTTTGAACTTCAACTCAAAATTCTTTCTAAAAAACATAATCTATTAATATTTTTGATCTTTAAACCAGTAATCTATATTCTTAGGATCCTTCGATGAAGCTATTTTCTTGAGTCTTTATTTATATATTTATTTATTTTACTCAAACTGTCCTTTTAGGTTTTTAGTTTAATACTTTCCATTTTTTTTAATATTTTTTCTCATCAAAATCCCAAACAATCCAATGGTAAATCAATCTTAATTCAATCCATGAATTTTCAATTCGAGTATTCACATTCAATCAAAATGGACTTTTTAGAAATATACGTAAGCTAGGGTAAAGGGTCATGAAAGAAATCGATAAAATAAGTCTAAAATGTATTTAAAGGGTAATCAAACCAAATATCATTTTTTTCATAGAGAGCACTTTAACATTTTGCCCCATCAATTTTTTTTTCTTCTTTGCTTTTTTTTTCACACTTTTTATCATTTTTTCAAAAAAAATTTGAACACAAAAGGGTTTTCACTTTAAAATCTTTAAGAATTTCAACTTTTCAAGCTTTTCAAACTTTGCTCCCAATATAGGGTAATCCTTAGTTAAGGTTCATTGAAAGAAAATTTTAATAGGCTCTGATAGAAAAGCAAAGGATAATTTTATTCTTTTTGTGAAGGGTAAAAGAAAGATGATCGTTTATCATTTCAAATATGAATGCTCTCAATAGGGAACATCGGTTGACTAAGAATAGACTTTTGAATGAACTATTGCAAAAATCATATATTGCATCACTTTCACCTCTTAATAGATAAAATTCTTCACTAGATTTATCTTTTTTTATTCAATATTTTCAATGAATCAACAATCTCAATTTATCAATCATATCATTATGAATGATATTTTCAAAATCGAATCTCAAATTATTATTATAACTGTTTAAATATTTATTATAAAGAATAAATATGGGAAAAGATATGATAAGGTAAAAGTATATAATGGTAATTCACATAAAAGAGAAAATGATCTAAAAGAACTGGAGATACCATGTCATTCTTAATCAATTTTAATAACAGCTCAGTATAAGTTATAGGGATAAGATAAATGCAAGCTCTCTCTTGGTTGCCTGTGGATCTTTTCAAATCACTCGCTTGACTATTAGGCCTTGAAACTGGTATAGTGATAGGATTAGGCCTATATGTAGGTGTTTAAAAGGCTTGTTGATAAGGGCCTAGGTAAATGTTATTCATAGTTAGGTAATGAAGCTGGTAAGGAAGTTGTGTAAGGTAGTAAAAAAGATAAACAGGTGGTGGATATGGAGCATAACTTTTGAATTGTTGCCCTTCAAAACTCATAACTTGGGCTTTGATTTTTTTCTTCTTAGGCATCCCACCTTTCTTGGTACTACTGGTTTTTCTTCATCAAGCTTACCACTATTAATGGTATTTTCAATAATTTTTCCTAAGATCACTATATCAGTAAAATTTTTTGTTACGTTCTCTATCATCTTTTCAAAGTCAGGCAATTTCAAAGTGCTCACAAACAAAATTATCATTTCTTTTTCAATTAAAAGTGGCTGAACTTAATCAGTTATATTCTGCCACCTCTATACATATTCTTTAAATGATTTCATCATTTTTTCCATACTCTACAAAGAAAAGTTATTAGAAACCATATCTATAATATGACGATATTAATTGATGAAAGAATGGGTTAAATCTTTCTATAATTGAATGCAAGTCCTGTCCAACTGGATATATCATTTTGTAGTAAAACCAGTTAAACTATCTTGAAATAGATGCATGAATACCTTCTCATTACTAACGTATGTTGCCATCTTACGATAGTACATCGTAACATACATGATATGATATTTGATAACCTCATATTTATCAAACTTTGATACCTTATACTTTGGAGGTATAACCACATTTGATATTAAACATAGCCTAACAACATTCATGGAACTGTAAAAATCAGTGTCTTCTATAACTCGCAATCTCTTATTAAGCATATTCATCATGGAATTAGCTTTAAAATCCTTTAAAGACTCAGTCAACTTCAATTTTAATTTTTCTTTTGGATCATCCAAATTGGGCACTTGGATCGATTCAACTGTTTTTTCATTGATGGCAAAATTATTGTACTTTTGAACATTCTTTTGGTTGGGTGTAGGTGGTATCCTCGAATAAGTATAGCTTGGAAATGCAGGTTGTTATGGCAGAAAGTTTTAAGTAAATTAGGCTTGATAGGGGTTATAACTCGGAGGATACAGTGGATCAGTAACTTTATATGAAACATTTTCTTCTACCACCTTTTCCTTATTCAGCTTACCCAAAACTTCTAGGATTTTGTTCAATTCTCCCTCGATTTCCTCCTAAGCTTTTTTCAATTTCTCAACATGGTTCACATTATCTTGTTTTATTTTTCTAGCTTAAGCCCGGATATAATATTAGTGTTGAACTACCCTTAAATCTTGATTTTTCACAATTATGATGCAAATCTAGAATGATGTTTGTGGAACCATCAGATTATGCATGAGAATAAACATAAAAAAAAATGAATACAATCAAGAGAATTTAAGGATATGAATGCATGCATATACAATAAAACAAAAAGGTTACTAAACATGATATATACAATGAACAATATAATATATAAAAAAAAACATAAAAGGTTAGTATGTAAATAATAAATACAAAAAAAATATATAAATTTACAAGCAGAATAAACGTCCCATCATATGTCCTATTTAAGTTTTTCTAACATAAAGGAAAGCATGGCTCTAACCTAGGTTCGGATCCTTATGGTATATTTACATGCTAGGTTTAAAGATTTGACAATCTAAGAATTTTTAAATTGTTCCTTACATCATCCATTTTAGACTAGTAAAGCATCTCAATCTTCATCCATTATAGGCTATAAGTGAAAATAGTTCAATTTAAGTAGGAGTTTTTCACTAACCCATGCGAAAACATGAAATCTTATAAAGGCATAGGTACTTCACTCGCTTCTAAGGGATAAAACTATGGTTTAGAGCTCATATTTTGCATGTGTATGTGAATGACAGATATATGAAAAGAATAAATAAATAAATAAATAAAATACAAACAAGGAAAAAAATCTTAAATTTATTAGCTTAAGCTTAGATAACATGAAATTATTTATTGGCCTAACCCTCAATTTTTCTAACAGAGTTGTCAAACTATCATAACGTATAAATCCATAGACCTATTGTTAGACATAGACTTAAAGAGTCACCACCAATCTTTTTTGTTTAGGTGCAATTGACCACCTAACTAAATCTATCTTATTTAAGGATGGTACCAAGATTGACTTAGATATCTTTAAATAGTAGATTCTAAAATCCACGAAACTAAATTTTAGATTTAGGAGTGCAATTGCATATGAGAAAGATTATAATACCCTCATAATACATATCCAAAGGATAGTACCAATTTAATTTCAAATTATCTAAACCTCGAAATATTCTTATAACTTTACCTAGTAATTTAATTATTAGAAATTAATCCTAAAATTACTCCAATGGTTTGATAGCAATTTAAAATAATTTTCTCACCTCAAAAGTATTCATCGAGACTAAAGCCTACTCTAAAGAAGTTCTGTCATCAGGTTCACTAATATATTTTATTTAGAAAATAATCAATAAAATCCTTCAATAGTTTGATAAAATTTTACTTTGATGCAAATCTCCAAATAGTTTGGTGAGATTTTATTTTACAATCATTTATAAAATTTTATTATGAAAAAATTCATTAAATCTTCCAATAGTTTAGTAAGATTTAATTCAAAATTTTGATCCTACAATAGTTTGGTAGGATTAAAAATGTATTATTTGTTTTTATTTAAAAAATTTATTAAGTCTTCTAATAATTTGGTAGGATTTAATTTAATATTTAAATCCTCCAATAGTTTGATAAGATTGAAATTTTTTATTTTTTTAAACTCTTTTTTAAATTAAAAAATCAAATAAAACAACAATTATCATGCAAAATAATAGTATGCAAATAATAATATAATATCATACCATAATAATATGATATCAGGCAATTAATATAAACTATCATATAATTAAGATAAAATATCATATAAATTAATTAATAATCATGCAAAAATGAATCACACAAACAAAATCATGCAAATTAATATATTAATAATCATGCAATTAAATAAAATATATAATCATATCAGGCAAAATATATCATGTAAAAATTAAATACGAAAAATAAGAGAATAAAAACAAAGTAAAAAAACAAAGAAACAAAAAATAAAATAAAATAAAATAAAAAAAACATGCGATCGAGTAAAACTTGAAACGCGGATCTTTATACGGGTCGTCAAGTTCATGCGAAAACTTCAAACTTCAATTGGAAAGTTCATCCTAAACCCAAAAAAATCCAAAAAAAATTAAATTCTTAAAAACCCAATAAAAATCCCAAAATAAAAAAACCAACATAAAACTTTAGCAAAAATCCCAAAAACTCAATAAAATAATTAAAACCCAAATTCAAGAAATTCAAAAGCAGATCAAATCAAATTTAAAACGAAATAAAATCATAAAACCCAAAAAAAATCTCAAAATTTACTTGAATGATTCCTTTTCAAAATTAAAAAAAAATAAAAAACAAAAAAATTAAGATCCCTAAAATTTTGTTTTTTTCTTTTTTTGTGTGTAGTTTCTGTTTATTTATAAAGATTGTATCCTTTTAATTTTAAAAAATAAATCAAATTAATTATGATTTTATTACGATTTTATAATTTATGATTTAATTTTTAATTTCTCCTTTTACAAGATTTGCATGAATCAAATCTCTCGTTTTATGATATTTTTTATTTATTTATTTTTTACTTTTGATTTCTTTTTAAAAAAAAGAAGTAAGATTAAAATAAATAAATCAATCCAATCCAATCAAATTAAAAATTTTTTATTAAGCCTAAAGTTTCCTAATCGAACCTAATTTTACAATCGAAATCCGATATCGACCTCAAAAAAATTCCGTACAAAATATAATGTTTACACAACATTTCTACCCTGTTATAATTTAGTTTCCAGAATGCCATATATCCAGCTCTTGAACATCCATAACCCCATTCGGTTGACGATTTTTACCATTCATTACAAGAGAAGGAACAGATAAGAAAAGGGCGGAGTTGCACTTGGCTCAGGATTCCATCTCAACCTATGAAATTGATTGGCAGATACTTTTTGTCATTTCAACCATAACCCCAATGTTAAACTTAATGATTGCAAAAACATTTTGAAGCTCAAGTACTTAAAGCTCAGCTGCAACTCTTTACCAGTCAATTTTACACACAAAATGGTTATGTTTGGAAAAACATTGGTTCTCTAAAGAAACAAATGTGGGGAATGAGCGGAAAACAGTAAAGCTCCTGAAAATAGTGCATTGTACACAAACTCAACAAAAAGGAAATAAAACTGTCATCTGAGAAATCTGAAGCCGTCACTCCATTGTCAATGCAATCGCCTTCAGAAGCAAACCAAATTAAGATTTCCACAAAACTCAGAATATCATCACATAATGGTGCAACGGCTCCTTTCTTCTGCTGGTTGTGGGGCCACCTGCTGGTTCCTGTTTGACTCCGAAGGGTTGTATGTGAACTCAGACGTATCCAGCCCGTACTGATATACATCCAGTGAAAAACAATATTAGAGAGCAACAAACTAGGCAAGAGGTTGAGAGAAAGAGGATGAGACAGGAAAACAATAAGGAGAACAAAATGCAGAAATAGAAGCAAAAGAAGGTGGTGGTGGTGGTCGGGGTCCAACCTGACCATCTAAAACAGTAGTCAAACTATGCATTATATCACAGAGTGCACCACAATAGACAACACAAATATAGTAAAATCTATCCGTTGGGCATTTTGGAATCTGACTAATCAGAGTGTCGGTGAGAAACGCTCACTAAATATTGGGATTGGGCCACAGGCAACCACAAAACAACTTCAGTAGCAAAATATACCTAGAACTACAAAAATGTTTAGAAATTTACTGAAAGAAAGAAGTATTAAAATTGGCCACAAAAACAACATTCGTTTAGTAAATGCAAAATTTTGATTCAATATTTTGGTATACAAATTTACATAATCCTTGATGTTTAGCAGATAATTCAATGTCAAGAACTCAAGATTCCAAGTCTCCAGAAAATCAAGGTACTATGGGAGAATTGGTCTAAGCAAAGCATTATGAGAGAGGACAACTATACATCCATAGATCAAAGGGAAGGAATTCATGGGATAGAAAGCACCTTTTCCCTCATACGTGTGCTCCAAGCATCGTTTCTGCTGGGCCGTTGATCAAGGCTGCCAGCAACAGGTACACCTGCAGCTGGAACTGGTGGCCTGGTGATCAAAGGCTGTCTAACTTGTTGCCTTGGTGCAATGAACTCATCGTCACTGTCATAATCAGCAGGTCTATTGGCAGCCCTAACCGTAAGTGCTAACACGAAAATGAGAGCCTGCGAGTTCAAGTTGATTTACCACCCAAATCAGTAGTATTAATGCCCATAGAAATTATAGCAGCCTGGATATTATTCTAAGAGAGAGGTCAGTGCAAAAAATGTTCCCCATTAATGATAGTTGACGAAGTTTTCAATTTCCCACAATTAAATTGAATGCTTTTCAACTTTAAGCTTTGATTATAGCATTTAAATAAGATCGTGCCTCGTGTTGTGTGCAGGACACAAATGCCATAGATAGACATCCAAGGCCAAATCATATCCACTTGGTAAGAATAAGAAGTCCTAGGCTATTCTGAGCATTGTTATCCCAAAGAATCCTGTCATATTTCCAAAAGCTAAATGAATCTGAAAAGAAGCAAATTGCAAGTGCCACAAATAAAAAAATGTAATTTGCATGTTCTAAATGAATAGGAATCAAAGGGGAAATCCTTGCGTTAGAAATTAATTTCATTTATTGAACCACTCCCAGTCTATCAGACTGCTGCTCGGTTTTTTCCATGAGAATGAATGAGAGTGTCCATGCATGTAATCTTTAAGTCTTCAAGATTTGCAACACAGTCACATTATACTTACCTCTAATATAACAATTCCAAGGGCAACCCATTTGACAATACTCCAGTTTTCTTCCAGAAAATCATAAATCATATCAAAATCTCCTGTTTTATCCTTAGGAAGTTCCTAAAGAAATTAGCACTAATTAGTTAAACAAGCACACCACCTTAAATTGAATAAGGGGAGCAGAGGACCAACAAGTTTAACACAAAACTTACATCTTTCCAGCTTTTGTCAAAGTATATGAAAGCTGCACATCCAAGCTCCACCAAGATCAACAAGATCACCAACACTGAATACTATATTACCTTAAGGAAACCAATCATCACAAAGAAAGGATTGGGGTGGAATGAGGATTAACAAATTAGCCATTTATGAACTAGTAGATTATAATGTTGTTATGATGTACATGATATCTATGTTACATCATCATTGCCACTTTGAAAAACATCAAACGAGTAATTAGGATACACAAGTCAAGCAGCATAAATTCCGCATTGCAGCTCCAGCACAACCAAAACAAGAGATAACAAAGAGAACCACACCTACTCCAATAAATAAATATATAAACCTGCAAAATCAGAAATTGGACAGTTAAAACAGAAGAGAACATGCAGAAAATTCCACTCAAATAAGCAATTGAATTCCTAAAAAAATTCATATATTGAGAGACAAGTACATAAATACATCTAAAAATCAGCATAGGATCCTTCAACGATACACATAACCATGACAAAACAAATGGTTGACAAAATAGAAAGTATAATATGTGGTAGAATGCAACACACAAATTCCAGCTGCTCAAGCTCAGCTTAGCTGGCCTTGGACTTTGAATCAAGATCAACCCAGTCTCAACCCAGAATCATCAAAGCATGCTTGAGTTCTTTCTTGCATGAATTATGGAAAACCCAGAGGAAAAGAATGGTTAGCATTGCTATCTCACTGCCTCGGAACTGCACTAGAAATGTCAAGAGTAGCATGCCTACAAGGAAATGCCAAATCACATTCCAAATACTAATTGTCTCCAAGCCATTGAATACCAGTGTATAACAAGTAAAATGACCCTACTAGTGATCATCAGGGGGATCTTGGAAGCAGAAATCATTCAAGCAAGTATGACCCAAATTTAAGGGCAGGGAATCTAAGGTATATAATGTATAAAAATTTTGCCAAAGAAAAGAGCAATTTTACAAATTCTACACAACCACATTTTGAATTCAACTGATGCAAGCATGGCTAAACTAATAAAGAAATAAGAAACACAATATCAAATTATAATAAAATGTTGAGAACTCAAACCATGCTTTTGGCAGATTGTCAAAAATACTAGATGAAAGAGATACAGCCATGAGCATGGGCCGACCGAGCTGTATCAAATCTTGATCACTACCCGCAGGTGACAAAAGCATTGCTGTATCAGCAGCCTTTTCATACTCAACAAACAAGTAGATACCATATCCAACCATTGCCAAACCAGCAAGAGTCATCACGAAGTTCAAGAGCTTCAACAAGCACTCTAAGCATCCTCTACAAGCCATCCTCAATAATGATCTTTGTTGATCCTTTTTATTACAGTTCTAATAAATATTTCCTAGTTCATCAACTTGTAAAATTACCTTCAAAAAAACACCCCACATTTACACTTTACATCAACAAATGAATAATCGAAATAGGTATCTCAAAAAACAATAATAATAACTATTACAAACTCATTTCAATATTTTCAGAAAAAAGGTAACCTTTTTATGTACCAAAAATTTTTTTTTTAAAGATTATAAATTTATGGTGACCTAATAAAATGTATGATTTGTTTCAACTTATAGTTTTAAACAGGAAAGAAGCAAACTTTTAAGGTTTTTCCTCAGTTTTCTAATGAATCAAAATTGGGTTTTCTGAATTCTAGGTACAATCAAATCCCAAATAGTTGCTTTTTAAAATCACCATCTTTATACAATGTAAACGGAAATAATAAACAAAAATTCTACTTTATAAGTAAAACCCTAAACCAATCCAATGCTAAAAATATAGAATTTCTCTGTTAGATCGCTCGAAAAAGATAAATTGAATCGATCACTTACAATTTTCAGTGAGATTCCGATTGCGACTTGATTTTAAGTGATAGAAATAAAAAATAATAATAATAACAATTTTTTTTCCGAGATGATTTTTTGAAAGCAGAGAGGAAGAGATACAAAGGAAAAATAAGGGCACCCTGTCTCAGTTTTGCTATTTCCTGTCGTGACAAGCCGGCATCTTGATTTTCCACTCTCTTTTCTGATTTGATTTGGTCTTTTGAAATGCCATTATTGCCCCTACGGCTTAACTGTTCTGGGGGTATCAAAGTAATTTAGTTTACTACTGAAACCGAGCAAAGGGTGTAGTGCCCAAATTAATTCAAAGTTCAATGCAAATACGAAGTTCGAACCTGAATTATTATCTTTTACTAATCATTCTCCCTTTTGTTTAACTAATCTCACAGTATTTATTTGTTCATCAATGGGGTACGACTTGACCAATAATAAATTAAAATATAAAAAATAATTACAAACGTTGCATTTTGAATTTTATATTGAATATCAATTTTTTAAGTTCGTTTCTTTTATTATTACACGAAGATAGTTGATAACGATGATTTGTCAAGTGATAGACGATGAAACAAGAGAAGGTTAAAGCCAGTTGTCTAGAGACACGTGTCAGAATAAAGAAGGGTTGTTGCAAGGAACGACTGTGATTTAAGAGCAAGAATTTGGGCGGTGAGAAAGTAGTTAAGTTGTGGTCGAATAGCAAATGTTACAAATTCAGTCCTTTCGTGTGAATGGCGCCCATCTTTTATAAATTAAAAAACTCCGCTTGTATTACTTAAAAAGTAATGAAGTGATGCAAATGTCATTATGTTAATTCTGTTTTTAAAATTAAAATATTTTAAGGATAATATATTAAATATTTTTTTTATTAAATTGTAAAAATATTTATATTGTTAATTTGGGTTGAAGGTCTCTCTGGGCAAATGCAAGAGAGGAGACGGTAGTGAAAGCCACGTGAGTGAAAAAGTAGGACCCAAAGGAAAAAAATGGCGGGAGAATATGTCTGGAGGGACCGTAACGGTCGTTCAAGACACCAACTAACGGTCAAGAAGGTGAACTGGTTGAATCCTAAAAAATTAACACGAAAATTCCAAATCCCTTTCCCCACCTAACCCATTGGATGCTCCCACTTATTACACGACAACGTAGCTTGTTACCCTTTCACTTTGTGGTTTTATTGTTTTCTCAATAATTTGTAGGATTGGATCATGGGCGTAAAATTATAATAGTACTAACTAGTAATATATTCTCAAATAAATAAATAAATAAATAAATAATAGTAATATAATTCATCAAAATAAAAGCATTTACAAAATTTAGATCCAAGAAAGTGAAGAAGAGAGAGCCAGACCAATTAGACCGTTTGGGGCCTTGGCACTCTTTCATTCCACACATTACTTTCTCCTTTATTCTTATCGTGTATTTTTTTTTAAGAGGAAACCCCTTTCAAATTAGTTTGACATCTTATTCATTTTTTTAATCACAATTTTGTAATTGCCATTATTTTACATGCAAATTTCGCCAAAAAAATGAGTACGTGACATGTGATAGGGACTAGAGAGTGTTACAAATAATTATATGATATATTGATAGAATATAAATTTTTAATTTTAAGTATTAAAATTTATTTTTAATTTTAATTATCAAAATCGAATAAAAATAATAAAAGAAAGACTAAAGAGCGTAATGGGAGATTGAGAAGTGAGAATTGGGAGTTAGTCCACCATTACCTTTATAAAGCATAATGCAACTGTGAGCCCATTCTAACAGTAGTAGTTTAAGCCCAAAGTCTAAGGCCTTGAACTTAGATGTAAATACCATTATACATATTGTCATATAAAATATTAAATTATAAAAAAATATGTATTAAATTTCTTATCAATATAAAAATATAAAATATATTTTTTAAATCATATTAATTTCATATATAATATTATTAAAATTTTGAATCATATTATTTTTTATCTTATTTTTTATATCATATTTTTATTTTTATACCATATTTATATCTTTCACCATATTATCTTTCAAATTATCAAATCTACTTAAATGCTTGGACGGTTGGACCCGCAAACATCAATAAAGTCATATTCATCGTATTAAACAACTGCAAACCACCTTGTTTTCCAATTTGCACGTATTAATTGTGAAGAGATAATAATCAAGTCAGCATTCAAACTTCATCATCAAGATGAAAGGATGGATCACCTTTCACATATGCCGATTCATCCTTCTGCAACTTTCCATTATTATTATTATTATTATTAAACAGTATTTTTCAGTTGGCCCCACCAGAGGAAAACAATATGACCCCATCATCAACATCCAATGAACCAGTCTCGTCATCAAAACCAAAGGTCCCGACACATCTGATCTAACAACAATTGTTCATGTCTCATGTCAGAGTGTTTACAACCACGTATGTCGAACGTGGTGGAAATCACATCTACGTGGCCTTTTCTAATCCGTTCATTTTGTCACAAGAAAGCGACCGCGCTTCGGCTTTTCACTGTTGGCACTAGATTGAATCAGATTGACCTTTTCCTGTTTGTTTCCTCGTTTGGCATGATGTCAGCAACAAAAACCCGTGAACCACGCGCTCCAAAGGCGCGTATCTTCAAATGTCATTCCTTTTTGGGTTTTTGATTTGATGGGAGGTTCAAACAGTTGGAAGTGCCGCAAAGTTGGGTCTGGTCGGAGCAAGATTAAAAAAATCTGGAAAAAATCTGGAAGCATGAGGGTGGGACCGGATGATCTAGTCCACGTCAGCAGGAATTAGAGCCACTGATGTGAGTAGGGATGGTGGAGATGCCTTGTCTAGAGAGCTCAGCTAGCACACTATCAGTCGCAGGAGGCTTAAGGCCTAAGGGCAAAGGTAGCCATGGCTTGTTTATTGCTTCTTTGACAACCTTGTCAATTACCTCCTCTGCCTGCATTCAAACAAACACAAATCATTAGTGTTAATCACTTGGACAATCATTTTTTCTTACTCGATCACCTCACTCTTGTTATTTTATTTTAATATTTGAGATTGTATGATCATTGATCGTTGTAACTAAGAATCTAACCGTCCAGCACTCATTCATTTGTAATCAGACAGCATGTTCAATCAGTATATCTCATACTGAAGCACATGTAATGGGATGTGACTGAAACTAAAAGCTTAAAGAGGGATGGATTACCGGCTGATGTTCAACAGAATTTTGAGGCATGCCACTTCTGTTATCCATGGTGCTAGAATAATGAAATCCAGATGCATTCTGCATATTCTCAATAAGTAGAATATCAGAAACAGGATTAAAATTCATTCATATACTTCAATTGTATTAAAAGACTAAATTTTTTTTTCAAATTATCCAAAAAAGGATCAGTAGATGTTTAAAATACTACATTAACCACTGAAAAAAAAAAAAAAAAAATAGAACCGGTATTGAAATTAGATAGCTAAATACTCACTTGAGTGAATGTACAGCAATATCCTTGAGGTGGGGGCATAACAGGGCAACCCCATGCATCAGCATGCACCTGAAACGAAAAATGATCACATATCACATATATAACTGCATTTCACAGCTTTGTCTCCGCAAACCAACGTACTGGTTGATGAAGTCAACCAAATAGTTAAAAAGATGATAGACAACAATAAGCTCACCCCTGGATAGGGCTTCAAATGCCAACTTTCAGCTGGTTGCCATGGGGGGTAACCTTGCGATCCCCACATCTGGATGCTGGCTGGATGAGGAGGTGCTCCCCACATGGGATAGACTGGACCAATCGGAACAACATGATTAGAGTGATATGGAGGGAAGGCCATGATCGGTTTGTGTGGATAACAACTCCTTTGCGTTTGATCTCTTTGTGGCCATCTTCGACCATCCTCCTTGGGCAAAATGTGTCTCCTATGCATTCGATATTTCTGTTTCACAAACAAATAGTGGCTTATTATCAGCTAAGGCCTCAGAGTAGGAAATTTATGTCACCAGTGATCAGACCAAGGAGGAAGAAAAAGAAAAAGTAAAAGCTTATTAATAATTTAAATGTCATGTATATTGTATTGTCTTATGTCTACATTTACCGAGCTAGCTAGAACAACAAAGGGAACCATCCTTTTGAAACAAAAATGTAACTGGAATAGGATTTTTAACAAGGAGCGAGTAGTGCAACACACACTGAATGAAAGGCACTGGAATCATGGAATCTAATTGAGTATCAAAAAGGAAAAATTTTACCAACCTGGAGATGGCTTGCCACATTATGCCTTGTCAAGCCTTCTACTTTCATCAGCTCTAGTATTCGAGAAGGGATGGCTTGATCTATACCTAGTTGGTCCACTGCCTGGACAAATTTCTTATGCAGTTCAGGTGTCCAGTCGACCTGAGAATTCAAACAAAACAAAATTGTACTCACCTAACACCCACATATAATTGTATAAAAAAATTACTTATCTTACAAATACTAAAAGGATTAATATAATCAAGAAAGGTATGATGAAAACTCTTTTCCAGTCTAAGTGTAGTGGGAAGGTTAGGATATTACATATTAACAAAAATATTGGAAATATTATAGCAAAATAGATGATTCTAACTTAAAACCCATCCAACCCACCTGGGTTGCAACTATTTCGTTGTTTACAAGGAAGAGTTAGCAAGAGGACATGATCTTAGGACTTATAATAACAAAGTACAGAAGAAAGAGACAAAATGAAGTGAATGATAATAGAAGCACATAATGACATAATAGCATAAATAAGCTGGAAGTGATGTCCACAGGTGGCTGGTAAACAGCTTCTAATAAATGTCAAAAAATTTCAAAATCTCAAAACTGATCACTTGAGAGTTCAATTTTGAACACAATTCTTATGGAACTGTGGAATCAGGTGATGGTAGCTTAGTGATTAGCAAATGCTCTCAGTAAAACATGTTTTCTATGCTAGCATTGGGAATACATAGTGGCAGGACAAGTGCAAGATATGCTGCAAGCTGAAGAGAATGTTACCACAAGTTGAGCAAGGTTCTATACATTTAGAAACTTGTTAAATATAGCCAAAAAAGGATGACAGGGAATGAACTAGATTGCAATCCCTTAATCATAGAATAGTCAGAGTATAAGCTACATTACCTTCAGTCTTTTTCGATTAACTTTATTCAGATATGAACTATGAAGACCAGAAACTGTACTTGGCTTTTCAGCACCAGTATGGGAACCTTCGCTATTTTCTCTGTTTTGTGGATGAGAGTACATGGTACTTTCACCCTTGATACCATCAAATAAGTCAGCCTCCTCTTTTACCATGGTCTCCGTTGGTCCATGAGATTGGCCAACTGGTGCAGTTACTTCAGCAATTGTATTGCCACTGGTAGTTTCGACAGATTTGGATTCTCCATCATGCTCCCCACTCTCTTTTTCTGTGGAGCAGTTAGTATGATCTTGGCAATCTACATCGTCTAACAATCTTGCTCCCTGTTCTAATTGTGGTGTTGAAGGAGCTGGGTACTTATCACTTCCTGGTGATGGTTCACGGTCATTTCCGTGAATCACAGGTACATCTTCTGTTTTGTCTGAGTCTTCATTCTTAGATTTTCCATTTTCCAATTGTAGATGTAGCATAGAAACCACAGATTCTTTAATAGGCTTTAGTGATTCAGAAAGGTCATTCCCCCCTGCATTGAATGCCTGTAAAGGACTAATAAAATGAGAATTTCCTTATCATAGAACCTTAACTGCCATTTACATGTAAACTTTTAATGCAATTAGAGCAGTATACAGACCGACCTTATGCACCACGTGCTGCCATATATTCCTTAGTTTATCCTCACAGAGTGGTTTCCTAAGAAACTCAACGGCACCAAACTGGAAATAAAGTAGTCAAAACATGCATTACAATTATGATGTTTGGAAATGAACTTAGGCTCTATTGGTATGATGTGAGTCAGAATTGACATGTACAACAAAACTCAAGTTTCTTAAAGCACTTCAAATAAAAAATCAATTGTCTCTTTATGTACCAAAGAGTAAGAAGAAGAAAAGATTAAGTTAATTAAGAATCTAAAAGTATTTTGAATTGACAACTTGCATGCACACTTATATGCACCTGAAAATATATGTAAACTGTTGAGTAAATGGTAGGCTGGAATAAATCTTACCGCTATGCATTTCATCATGGTGCTGATACAATGAATGTTTGAAGTCACTGAAATAAAAATGTTTTACAACAGCATTAGGAACTAAACAAGAAGTCCAACAACAATGATTACTGTCACAGATGCCAATACAAATTTATATCCAGGGTGGTTTAACAGAGTTTCATATATAGACTAAAAATCTAAAACAAAACCAGGACAGATGTAGTTTCTGAACTTACTAATGGTAGGTAAGTCCTTAGCAGTTTCAAGAAACTTGAAAGTCCCATTGTTATTGTTTGTACTGACCTGTGATCATACATGCTGTTAGTATAAATTGCATGGGTAAGATCAACACAGCACAGGATTACGCTCTATTTATTTCAATAATTAAGAGACCGAACAGATATTCAAACTAAAACTTTGGATGGAACAATTGAATTGTGATGATGGAAGTAGTGGCTTGGCATTATTGAATTTAGCTTAAGCATAACAAAGTAAGAACAGCTTATATAAATTTTCTGGTAAGTTACTACTACTAGTGCCAAAATAACGACGAGACACGGCTTGTAATCATGCTGATGGTTTAACAGCATGTGCTTACGACAAATAATCAACATTTGAAGCATGCCTATTTAACTATTTCTTTTTTCCCCTTAGTTGGAACTTGTTATAGAAATCAAAGTTCATATATTACCTCTACAATGGCTACATGGAAGTTTTCAGGTCGACTTGAAACTGCCGAAAGAGCTTCATGTTCATTGCAGAATGTATAAACTGCAAAAGGCACAATAACTTTTATCCTACATTCAGAATTTCAGATAGACATATAAAGGGAGATACAGAGAAAAAGAGATACAATGGCAGGTGATAGAAATAAATGCCACATTAAAGATACAGGAGATCACTGTGAAGACACAGTAAGAACATAAGATTTAATTACCATTTACTAAAGGGAACTATTTAAAAAAAAAAAAAAAACGCCGTTTGAAGATTAAATGGTTTAAATAATTTTATCAGACACGCAGCATTTGGAATTTTTTAAATAATTTTAGTTCATAGAAAACAGGAGATCATAAAGGGAGAGAACATGACTGAAATGGGTATCCAGAACAACAAAAGTCTACGATATTATATTTTAAGAAAGATTTTAATATTCATACCTTTTTTAAAACATCCCCAAACCACATGGCACCAGCCCTACCCACAAACACCCCAGCCGCCGCCCCCCCCCCCCCCAAAAAAAAAAAAAAAAACTAATAAAAAGACTGGACCTTTTTCATCAAGTTGAGTTTTAAAACATCAATCTACAAAAATATAACTACTTTTTATTGGTTTAGAGGAAAATCTATTTATAGCAGTCATGCAGTGCAACAAATTGATTCCTTACTATAAAGCTCATGACCACAAAATTTCCAGGTTTTAAACATCGTTAAGAGAAAAAGAAGAATCATGTAAAGTGAATACACAAAGAAACTAAAGACTTCTAATTCAGGTAAAAAAGGGTGGATTCTAACCAATATAGTCCATAGCTTCAAGCTTTGATTTTATCTCGGCAGCAGAATTGCTGTCATCATCGAGAAGAAGGACCCTGAGGCCCTTTGGAAAATCCTTCCATGCTGATAAATCATTACTAGTGCAAACCATAGCTGGTTTGGCATCCTTTCTCAGGCAACCGACAAGTATTGCAAATTACTGCTTATCAGCATCCGATTATTTCTGCATGACCACAAGAATTTTCCCATAAAAAACAAGTTTTATGCTCATCAAATAATCAAAACTGGTTATCATCAAAGAAAAAATAAAAATCTGTTTTTGTGAAGCAAGATTAAAACAGATTGTACTAGAATAAAAATTTACAAAAAAATTCAACAAAACTAAACAAGTTTTAATGTTGATGTATGGTTAATGAAAACGTATTGGAGAGACCCCATTGCAACTGTAAAGGTTTTTAACCAATTATACCAAATAAAAGACTCGAGTATTGACCGATCTCTGAAGATTGACTCATAAAAGGGGCTGTATTGAACAGAAATACCTTATTTAAAGACTACTGCATGATGGATTTACAATGCATGCAACTCTTACCAGTGATGAATAATGGGATGAAATTCAGTTGCATAGTAGAGAAAAATCCTGTTTTGGTATAAAGATCTTTTGTTCTATTACTACTAATGGGAAGACAAGAAGTGGACAAAACAACCCATTAAAGATCTCTTTAAATGCATCACAAAAAAAAACTGACAAAATTTTGAAAAACATAAAGAAAAACAAAACAAATTGAATAGGAAACATTTAAAAAAAAAAAAAACCCAGAAGGATAGATAAACAAAAAGATGCTGCATGTAAAGAAGAAACATCAAACTGACCAAATTTTTTGCAAAAATAAGAAAGACCCACTTTTTTCAAGACTCCAAAAACGAAGTTGCATGCAGCAAAAGATGATTGTTACCACAAAAAGAAAGAGAGAGAGAGAGAGAGAGAGAGAGAGAGAGATCCCAGAAGGAAGCTATTGAGGACTGACCATGTAGTTTAGGGAATAGATAGGATTAGGAGAAGACAGATAGGTCTCCACTTCTCTCAGTCTTTGATGTTTCAACTTACAAGTTCTTTCTTTTGGCTGCATACAGAAAGTATTGAGAAAGATAAAGAGAAAAAAATTGAAGAAAGAAGTGTTTTAAAGTTCGGTCTCTGTGAGAAATACGTCGTCGCTGCCATCAATTCTCTACAGGCCACATAATATGCAAAAAAAACAATAAAAAAAAAAATCATATAAAGTCTAGAGATGGGATACCCAACTTTTTGCACCTCCTTTTAGGAGAATCCCCCCCCCCCCAACCCCACCAAACCCAAAGTAGGCCCATCCTGTCAGCAGGCCTGGCCCTGATCTGGCCAGTCTTTGAGTATGAGTTTTGGAACTGGCTTTGGCCTGGTCTGAATCTTTATTTATTAATAAAATTTATTTTAAATTATATCTTAATATTTTAATATATCTTTTTTAAAAAGTTGAACTTTTGAATTTGATAGATCAAAGTAATTGAGACCCTACATATATTATAATTTAAAATATAATATAATAATATGATATAAAATTAAAATTAAAAAATATATTTTATATTTTTATATCGGTATAAATTATAATATATAATTTTTATATAAAATATAATATACATAAAATTTTAATATTTTATATAAAATGAATATACTACTCATTGAATCTATTTAAAATTTTGTTATTACTTTCCTAGTAGGTGAATATATAAATACGTATACATATATAGGTATACCAGATGCCCTTATTAAATTAAATTAAAAATAATATCATAAAAGTTATGTCATGTTTTATTTGCATAAATGACAATAAATATTACTGTTAACTGATTAATTTTTGCTATAAAAAAGTTCATGTTTAACTTATTAATTAACTTGAATGACATTAATAAAATATCAAATTTTATTAATTTTAAGATAAATAATTAATTAAAATTCTTATTATTTTGTAACTATGGAATTATTATTGAACAAAATGAACATAATCTAAAATGTAATTAAGGAACAAGCTTTTACGTTTACTTAAATTACCAAAATCGTCCACATGTAATTTACTTATAAATTAATTCTTAAGAATTATATGTATATATGAACATTATTTCTGATTTACCAAACATGATGTGAAGTTAAAATTATTATTGTAGAACATCATCCCTCCATTATTGTACCTTTCCAATTCTCATTTCCCCACTTTTTTCATCACTTTTTTTTTTTTTTTTTACATATGAAGTTATAGTTTGAAAATTAAAAAAAAAAATTATACATTTAAATTTTAAACCTACGAAATGTAATTTTTAAATTTTTTTACATAAATCAATTAAATTAAATTCTAAATTTTTTATTATTTGCATGACTTTTGTTTTATTTTATTTTATTTTGTTTGAATAATTCTTTTTACATCATTTTGAAATTAAATTTCGTCATTACCTTTGGTGAAAAGGAAAAAGAAAACACTAACCAAAAATCCAAAATCTAATAGGATGTTGGTCTAAAAATAATTGGACACTTGATCAACTTTTTTTTCTTTAATATTCATGCAAGTAATTGATTATCATAGCATTCCTTATTGCAGTCTTTATTTCCTAGTCAAGCATGTTCCCCATTATTTTGCCTTGCTTTTCTTGAGTTCTTTGGTGTATGTCTACTTTTAAGCATGCTTTTGGTGGATAACAATTGAGTAATAATGCATGAATGCTTAGATAAACATTAAAGCTTTAGACTCTGAAAAAATAATTTTTGTTTTTATTTTTTATTTTTTTATTTTTCATTTTAGAAAATGTAATTAGTGAACTAAAACAAAAATTTGTTTTCTAAAAATATAAAATAAAAAAAGTAATTATGAGAATAATTATTATTAATAACATCTAATTATAAATATAAGTTTATTTAATTGAAATAATTATTTTTTAAATATTATATATTAAAATTTTAATTATATATATATTTAAAAAATTTTAAATTTCTCGAATCCAGGCCGTTGACAAAACTTTTAAAAGATTACCTTTGGCATTATAATTGAATTTTCTTTAAGCATCAACATAATTTTCCCAATCCATTATACTTTAGAAACATCAAAATGAATGATATTTCATAAAAAAATCTATTAGACAATCTTTCAACAAAAGCATTTTTCATTGTCGTTTTCACTATGACTTATATTTTGTCTTTTTTTTTTTCATCATAAATTCATTATCAACGTACATTTATTTATGGCTTTAGGTCTTACAGTTGCCTCATTTAAATATAAATACTGACTTTCGGATGCCAACGATTAATTTTAGTCTTTCAAACCTATGAAGCCTCACCACGTGTCGAGCTCATGCATTCTTAAAATTGAAGCCAAGTTCATCCGAAAGAAGCTCAAGTTTATCGTGTCAAAGTTGTACAAGTTAAAAGATTATGTAGCAAATCACTCTTAATATAAGCTTATATTATATATGTGATATATAATAATTTTTTTGTTAAGTATATAATAAAATAAAAATAAATTAAAATTTTTAAATGTGTACTTTGTGATGGATTTATTTAATTACAAAATTTATATTATAATCATCAATCATGAATTATCTTAATATATACTTTTGGTAAGAATAAATATATTTATGGATTTATTAAAAATTGTAATTGTTTAATTTATTTCTATAAGTGTATGCTGTTTTTTTTTTTTTTTCCCTATCTTAAGAGCATGTATTTTCATTGTTTTTTTAATTAATTATGCCTTTAGGTACACGATTATAGCAAAAATTCAATGAATTAAATTCTTGTATTTGGACCACAACACGTGTTGGAAAATATGTGCCTTCAACTACAATTTGTTGCAAGATTTGTCACTGAAAATTAAATGCCTTGCACATTTAGCAGCATGACAATCCTTTTTCAAAGTCCCTAAAGTCTATCCATAACCATGGATAAAATCCCAGGAACAACTGTTCCAACATAGACTTTACATGCATCCCAGTCATTTACTCATTTATACATAGAAAAAGATGGATGCAATTTTCTTTCATTTCTGCTTCATGTTGTCCTTAAAAGAGCCTTAACTGGATTAAGCATCACCACAAAGTCCTGAATGAATTTTCATTAAAAAAAAATTAAAGAGAAATATAAAGATTATTTGCCATTAGGGTTGATAGCTCAATTCGTTTTCAACGGATTTTGATTTGACTCAATTTTATTGGATTATTTTTTTTTTAAATCAAGTTTCATGTCGGATCAGATCGAGTAATATTAAAAAAAAAAAATTGAAGTCGGGTCGGATTCAAGTTTTAGACAAATCCGATTCGATTCGATTCAATATATATAAAAAATTATTTTTTAATTATTTATTTATATATTTATATATAAAAAATAATATTTTATTAATTTTGAATTGTATCGAATCAAATTAAATACGATTTATGTAATATCGAATCAAGTTTGAATATAAAAAAAATAAAAAAATTTCGAGTCAAGTCAAATTGAATTCAAATTTTATAAATATAAAATTGGATGAATTTGAAACAAAAAAAAACTTATCCCGACTTGATTCATTGTCATCTCTATTTGCTACTGTTGATTTAGCATTTCTCTGTCAATGCAATTAAGATTGAATTGTGTTTTTTGGGATATTCATGGGTTTTGTTTTCATTATCTCGAATTAGTACTATGTATTCAAAATTTTTATTTTCAAAATGTTTCTTACAAGAATCAAATTTTGATTATTATTTGAATTAATTTTTATGTGATTTGAATCATTTATATTTATATAAAAAATGGTTAAAACTTATAAAAAATAAAATGATTAATTTTTCTTAATTTCTAAAAAAATTATCATCATATCATTAGATTTTCTTGATTTATAAAAAAAATAAGAATGATTTCTTTAACATTACAATCCAAGACAAACATACAAAAATATAGTAAGTTATACCTATCAACATTTTCGAAATATGTTAATCAAATTAAGCCAAATCAAGTTCTCAACAATCTTCTAGATGGAAAATTTCAAGACTAATCAACTTAATTAGTCCCCCCTTTCATTTTTCTATCATCCATCAATTTTGAAGAGACATAATAGTCATAGTGGATGATAAAAGATAAGCAGCTCAAAACCCTTATCCTTTCTTCTTCTGCCCATTTTCATCTATAGATAGTGGAAACCCCACACAATCAAATGGTAAGATTTTTGTCTCCTCTCTTATCTCTGTCATTTCCCATAATTGTTTTAAAAACTTCAAAAAAGAGGGCTTAACAAAATTTTTTTTTTTTTTGCATTTTTCTTGGCATTACCTTAAATTCAAAAACTTTACCTTTGACATCTAAATAGTAGTATTTACCTTATTATCAAGGGCCTTGAAATAATGGAGAGCTCCACTTGATCATTAGGGACTGCTGTTTGTAATTTAGATGCATGACCTTCCTTCCACTTTACTTTAGAACCACATCTTCTCTAAAATGTTACACATGTTATGTTTCTTTTTGTCTTTTCTTATTGGAATTTGTTTTTTGTTTGATTTAAATGCAACATGATTAGAATATGGGTCCTCAAACTTTTTCTATAATTATCTTTTTTTTTTTGTGATAATCGATATGCTTTCTTATGGTATCAAATTATATAAGTTGATGTTTACTTTTTTTTTTAAATAAAAAATAATTACAAGTGTTATGATTGTTCAATCTTATTTGTCGGTACATCCAAATTATTTTGTTAATAAAAAATACAAATATTAATCTATAAACCCTCTTTCATTTGAAGAATTTGGTCCATTTTCATTACATATTACTTACTATATCCTTTCTAGATGCCTCTTCAGTAGTTGTACCTATGCTCGATCTCTCGGGTCTCGGCCATGGCTACA